CATTGGTCCCTACGTGGATTTAACGCTTAAAGCCGATTTTTATACTCAAGGAAGCTGGGGGTGGCACACCCAAGTGGATTATTATGTTCGAAACCGATTTAAAGGCAAGTTTAATTACGATTATGAAATTCGTGTTTTGGGCACCGAAGGCTTATCCGATTATTCAAAAAACACATTAAGCCGTTTGGTTTGGAGCCATCAACAAGATCCGAACTTGAATCCGTATCTTAGTTTTAATGCCAATGTGAATTATAATTCCCAAAATTATTTTCAAAACACTTTAGATTTCGGTAATTACACCAACCGTACGGCCGTAACCAATGGGGTTAATTCATCGGTGTCCTTGGTTAAGCGGTTTCAGTATTTGCCCATTACCATTTCGTCCACGTTTACGCATTCACAAGATTTATTAAGCACCACCAACAATGTGGATTTAAAATTGCCACAAATGGTGATTAACTCCCAACGCTTATATCCGTTTAAATCCAAAAAAACATCGGCCAAATGGATTCAGAACATTGGGCTAACCTATACGGGCGATTTGCAAAACGCCATTAAAACCAACACCCAAAATCAGTTTACCAGCGCCATGTTTGACGACGCCAAATACGGGGTTCAGCAGCGATTGAATGTAACATCCAACACCAATGTATTGAAATATTTCCCAGTGAATTTTAATGCGCTTTATGGCGAGGTTTGGAGTTGGAATACTCTAGAAACCCAATGGAATAGTGCCAGTTCTTCAGCCGTCAACACCACGCATAAAGAATTTGCGAGTTATAGAACCATATCGGGGAGTGCCAGCATTTCATCAACGCTTTATGGTACCCGAAATTTCACCAATTTAGGAAACATCAAGGCCATTCGCCATACCCTGACCCCCACTGTAGGTCTATCATTGGCCCCCGATTATAGAACCGATTTCTGGAACTATTTTAGACAATACACCAATGGCAATGGTCAAGCCGTCACCTATTCGCCTTTTTCCAATTCGATTTTTGGAGGGCCGTCGTCCACTGGAACGGCCAGCATCAATTTTGGGATGACCAATCAATTGGAAATGAAAATTAAAGACCACAAGGCCGAAAAAGGATTTAGAAAGTTAAAATTAATAGAATATTTCACGGTTAATGGCGCATACAATATGTTGGCGGATTCCATGAAATTAAGCACCATTTCATTGTCGGGCGCTTCCAAGATATGGAAAGACCGAATAGGGATTAATTATTCGGGTACGCTAAACCCTTACGAATTGGTGGCCACCACTGCCAATCCCAATGGGATAAGGGTGGATCGGTATGCTTCTCCCGATTTAACCAACTACCGCATTGGTGTAACCACCACCATAGGGCCTGAATTGCTTGGATGGAAACGGCCCGAATCGGTTTCGAAAGATCAACCCAAAGGCCGTTTGATGTATGAACAATATTGGTTTGATAAAAATGGGTATGGTCAGTTTATATTGCCATGGTCACTAACGGTTTCCTATGTTCATCAATACACCAAAGCCGATTTTGCCAATGCCCTACAAACGGGAAGCATTGGATTTAGCGGCAGCGTATCGCCCACGCCTAATTGGAAAATCAATGGGTCCATTAGCTATGACACCAAAAATTATGCGTGGGTTTATCCAACACTTCAATTTAGCCGAGATTTGCGTAGCTTTGTAATGAATTTTAGTTGGGTGCCCACGGGTACCTATCGAACATGGAATTTCTTTATTGGACTCAAGGCCAATATTGTTAAAGATGCAGTCAAATACGAACAATCCGAAATTAGTACCCAATCCAAATTTTCAAATTTTTAATTATGCATACCATCATCAAAACCCCCAATGCGCCTACCGCTGTAGGTCCTTACAGTCAAGCCATACAAGCTGGCAACATGTTGTTTGTTTCTGGACAAATCCCCATTGACCCCGCCACAGGCGATGTGATTACGTCGTCCATTGAAGATCAAGCCCATCGGGTTATGAAAAATGTAAAAGGCCTTTTAGAATCGGCGGGATATTCCCTAGAACATATTGTCAAAACCTCTTTGTATCTTACCGATTTGGCCGATTTTAAGGCCGTGAATGACATTTACGCTTCATACTTCACCAAAGAGTATTATCCTTGTAGAGAAACCATCGAGGTTAAAGGATTGGCTTTGGGTGTTAACATTGAAATTACGGTAGTTGCCATTAAATAAACATTAAAA